TGCTCGGGCACAGTTTTAGTTACTAGGGTATCATTGGTTCATTCTCCTCAGGGGTACAGGTCCCCTAAACATAGAAGTTAAAGACTACTTGAATGATTACTACTGAGAAGCAGAAGGAAGAGGGCAAGCATTTGATGGGGAAGTCCAGCTCAGATTTTAGAACAGAAAGTGGAAAATCCAGCCTTAAATTGGGATCAAGACAGATGCAGAAACAGAAACAACTTACAGAAAATATATAGACTTGTATAGCAAATTTATAGAAAGAGGGGAAAAGTATTCTCTCTTATAGGGAAAGAAAAGATGTAAAATGTAAAAGGTTGACATTTATGTCTCATAAAGCAAAGTAGGAAAACTGGAAGAGTTAGGAAAAGAGAAAATTTAGAAGATGAGAAAATTTAAAAAATTATATTGTCACCTCTTTAAATATTTATGGGGGGAGAGAGGGAGAAGGAGAGAGAGAATGAAATGAATGAATGAAAGAGAATACAAGTGAATGAATAGGCAGCTGGTTCAACTTTTAACCTCATTTGATTCTATTCTTATATGGCGTCTAATAACTTAAAGAACACAATGTTTATTTACTGAAGAAGTGAAAGAATTTGCTGTAATGGGAAAATTGCATCATGGCATAAGTGGAAGGAGAAAAAGTGGCTTAGTGTTTACAAATATGGGCTTAAAATATTATAAGTGGTCAATTATTTAGACTTCAAGCAACAATTTTTAAGACTACAAAATACCACAATCTTCTTATATATTGTAGAAGTACTAACTAAATGTTAAATATACTAAAAGCTTGCTTTTGTGTTTTGAATACTATAAAACCTGAGTGTGTTTAGAAGTAGTTTCATATTCAATTACATTGTTTAGAATTAATATTGAATTATGAATATTGCTCTATTTAGTTTTATGATTGCATTATAAAACTGGAGTTAATGATTTGGAAGTATTAGCTCCCTAATTATTAGTATGCTGCTTATTTCTGTAAGAATAAAATGAGTCATTATGGTCTCTTCTGTTGATATGACTGGTACCTATTCCCAATCAACCTATACAGTATATATAAAAAGTGTTCATAGCTGTAAAGTAAATTAAAATATTTAGCGAATAGGTCCTAAGTATCACATTGGTTCAGAAAATAATTATTAAATACTAGTGCATTCCATGAATTATGCTCTTTGCTGGGACTACAGATAAAAAAGACCCAATTTCTGCTCTCAGTTAGTTGATAGTTTAGGAGAGAGATATTTATCAGATAGTTGAAATAAGTGCGGCAAAATAGGAATTAATATGAAAATAGAATGAATATAGTCATTTCTAAATGAGGTATTTGTGGGAAATCAGACGAGTTCGTGCAAGTATAAAGACATGGATTTGGGTGGGATGAGGTGGGATGTGGTTAATAGAGGGAGAGGATGGTGAAGATGACAACATCTAGGCAGAGAGAACAGCATCATGAGCACAGTGATGGAAGTGTGTTGTGGCATAGAGTGTGGAGGGAGCTGCACACACCTTGAATTATTAAAACACAAGGGATAAGGTGGAAAGTGGTTTAAAAAGATGAGATGGGGTGATAATAGCATTAATAACTAGCATTCTTTGAAGGCTAGTTGATATGCACCAGGCTTGATGTGCATGCTTACACTTAATCTTGACAACATTCTTCTGAGGTGTATAATTTCATATTCCCCTTAGTATCCTGCCTACTTCCGTGGTTCTACTTTGATGGCATGATCTTAGCAGTGTATGCCATTAAAATTGAATGGAGGTACATTGTAATGCAGAAATGTCACTGGAAGGAGAGCAAACTCTCTACCTAGAGATTGCCGTAGGAGGCACTACCACATTCTTAAACCTGGTTGTGAAGTCCACAAATGCAGGCACTCAATTTTGTCAGTGTTCAGGAATTGATTCTACTTGGCAGATGCAGATTCATGCTGACCACATTTGCAGGAGAATATAATTTAACCAGAATGTCTTGAGGCAGCAGAGACATAGCCTAGCATATGTGAGCAGTACTTAAGGGTTTTGATGGAAACAAACAGAAAATGAGTCAGCAGAATGATGTGCTTGCCAATAAGGTCATAAAATCGGAGGCTGAATTAATAGAAGCATAGTATTTCAAGATGAAGAAGGTGGAAGTCCTTTCCTTCCTTGCATTTATCAATCCACAGACTGCCTGAGAGAGAGAGAGAGAGAGATGGATAATAACCCATGTGTAACATGAAGATAAGTTGAAGCTGGGAGGTAAACTTTATAGTCTGGAGGAGAGAATGCTGCCTTCAAATAACATTTACATGGTTCTTGAGTTTATTCCCTCTGTCCAATTTATCATCTCTCTTAGTTGAAACTCTTATCATCTATTTCCACAGCCCAAATTATTCAATGTAAGATAATCTACTCTAGCTAGTTTAAATTAATATATGTTATTAAGAGACACTAGGTAGCTCTTGAACCAGAAGGGTTGCAGAACCAAACTCCAGATAACATTATAGGAATCAAACTGAAATACAGTTTGATTAAGGAGCTCTCATCACACCCAGAACCATCTGGACAAAATTGTTGTGCTGCAATCAATTCCTTAACCATGTCATCTCTATTGTCACCCACACTGCAAAATGGATGGCTTACTCATGACATGCTTCCTTACATAATTCACTTCTGAATCTACACCTGTTATAAATGCATTTCACTGGTGGAAATGAAGCTACACGCTTGTGCTCTCGTTATAAGGGAGTCCAACAAACGTAGTTTTTATGGATTCTTCTTTGGTTAGGTGGAATTGACACTGAGTTTGTATTAAAATGTAGATGACGTGTTCAAATGTTGTTGGACAGCCAAACATGACAGAAGACCACTGTGGTCTCCTAGCTAGCCTTATGCTTTATTATTTTTCTCATCCTTCAAGTCTCAAGTCCTGACGAAGACTTCTCTGACCTTTCCATCTGCCCTCTGTGTTCCCAAAGCATTATACACGTGTCTCTTTTATAGTTATTTATTTGCACATCTGTTTTCCCTACTATACTGTGAATTATTTAACAAAGATAGCATTTACTAACTATCAGGCATTTTTCTAAATAATAATAACTTCATAAATAATAACTCATTTTATTTGTGGGTACAAGTAGCCATTCAATTTGCATTTCCCTAGCCAGCCTTTATCAGTGTGTTTTTAGTATATTTCAAGAGTTGGACAACCATCACAACAGTCAATTTTAAAAGAGTTTATTACTCCAAAAGAATTACCATGCCTACAAACAGTCACACACACCCCCATTCTCCCTCCCTCCCCTGCTCCTGGCAAACACTACTCCACTTTCTATCTCTGTAGATATGCCTACTCTGGACATTTATTATAAATGGAATCATACGACATATGGTCTTTGTGACTGGCTTCTTTCACTTGGCATAATGTGATTTTAAGGTTCATTCATGTAGAAGATCAGTACTTCATTCTTCTTTATGTCTGAGTAATATACCATTATGTGGACATACCACCTGTTTATCCATTTATCATTTGATGGACATTTGGGATGTTTCTACTCTTTGATGCTGCTGCTCTGAACATTCATGTACAAGTTTTTGTGTGGATGTGTTTTCATTTATTTTGGGTATAAACTGGGCCATGTGGTAACTCTATATTAACTTTCTGAGGAATTGCTAGACTGTTTTCCAAAGTGGCCAAATCATTTCACATTCTCACCAGCAATATGTAAGGATTGCAGTTTCTCTGTATCCTCACCAACATTAGCTATTATAATGTTTTTTTATCCCAGCCATCCTAGTGGGAGTGAAGTGGGATCTCATTGTAGTTTTGACTGCATTTCCTTAATGAATAATGATTTTGAACATCATGTGCTTATTGGTCATTGTATATCTTCTTTAGAGAAATGTCTATTTACATCATTTGCCCATTGTAATTGGATTATTTGTCTTTTTATTGTTGATTTGTAACAGTTCTTTATATATTCTGGCTTCAAGTCCTTTATCAGATGTATGGTTTGTAAACATTTTCACCCATTGTGTAGGTTGTCTTTTTTTTGGTGTTGCTTTTTGAAGCATAGTCATTCCAACTTGGTTTGTGACTCTCTCAAGAGTGTCTTAATATGTTGCAAGAGTTAAGTGACTTTAAAATTGAAGAAAAATAATTTGTGTAGTGAAAGTGTTAATATGCTTGTGTATTACAAAATAAAGATACCCAATCAAAATTTAGCTTATTGAACCACTAAACAATATGTTCTTATAACTGAATATTTTTCCCTCCAAGGAGTGGTTTTTGTTACCCCAACACAACTAAATATATTTCTGATTATTTTTTGTTTTTACAAATCCAGCAACTTCTCATTAATTTTTCTTCAGTGATATATTATATATTTCCTATTAATTTACAAATCATAATTGCTCTTCTAGAAAACAGTGATCCTAAGGGGGTATATACCAAAAAGTAAAGTGCTTGTTTTTGCTATCAGTGTAAATAAATAACTTTGTTAAGCCTGCATGATATATATCTATGCTATAAACTGCCTATTTATTTTGTGTAATGGTTTAAAAATATTTTTTCCTTCTCATTAGTTCACTAGGTAGAGATATGAACCATGAATATATGGTAAATTTACACAAGATTATGGTTTCTAGAGTGAAAAACAATAGTGAAGGATCCACAAAAATGATTAGTATTGTAACTTTCATAATACGAGTTTGTTATATGAAAATTTTGGATTTTGAGGAGAAGACGCAAACATAGCCCAGTCATATGCTTTAACAAAGTTTATGTTAAAGCTACATGTGTGGTGTCTGCTTGCATTGAATTAGCAATATTTTTAATACGTGGTTTAGCTTTTTTTTCATTTTATGTGATGCTACATAAGCTGCTTCATAATCATTATGAACATAAACAGCATGACTTACTATTTTAAGACAGAGAATATTAATATCTAGTAATCACTTATGAAACTCTAAAGCAGAAATTTAGTAATGCTCACAATAAATGTTCTTTTTAACAGGAGGACATGAACCTTAATGAAGAACGAAAAGCTCCTTTACGAAACAAAGATTTTACCACCAAGCGTGAGATGGTTGTCCAGTATATTTCTGCTACTGCCAAATCTGTGAGTAGTGAGATTTTCCTGGCTCCTGACATACTGAGCTTAGCATTATCTGTTTAAAAACAAACAAATCTCAGATCTGGAAGTTCTTGCCTCAGTATATTCACATGGGGTATTCAGACAAAAACTTATACATGTATTTTTATACATTTAGTATATATTTCAAAACTGAACATAATTAGAAAGACTTCCACTATTATAAAAAAACAGAGTAAGGATAGAAGGCTCTGAGTTAATTCAGCAACTTTTGGGGCAGTGGTTTTGTATACTTACTAAAATTAACAGCAGTTTGCAGGTATTGTACTTAATACAAGTTTGTTATATGAAAATTTTGGATTTTGAGGAGAAGACACAAACATAGCCCAGTCATATGCTTTAACAAAGTTTATGTTAAAGCTACATGTGTGGTGTCTGCTTGCATTGAATTAGCAATATTTTTAATATGTGGTTTAGCTTTTTTTTCATTTTATGTGATGCTACATAAGCTGCTTCATAATTGTTATTGTACAGCTTAATATAATATAAAGGATGGTGCTTAATAGGAACTTCAATCAAATCAGTTTGTGTGAATCTCAAAAGACTTGAAAGTAGGGTTTTTTTAGATCTGTTTCAGCAGGAAAAGCTTAGTGTTTTAATGGAATATGTTGCTTCGTTCATTTCCTAAGATGTTTCCAGAAATAGTTTTCGGGTTTGATTTCTTTTTGTAAGAAAGAAATGTATTTTTGAAATGGTGAAATGTACCTTTTTACATTTATGTAAAGAAAAAGCTTTTCCCATCTACATTTTATAAAATCGCTATGTGTATATGTATTATATATGTTTATGTGTATGTACATATATACAAATATAATATGTATATATATACACACAGTTTTGTGTGTGGTACTGTGTGTGTGTAAATATTTATTATATGCACGCACACATATATTCACATGTAAAACATACATATTTTAAATTAAAAAAGTTGACCAGTGAAGAAAATAATTCTTTGTTAGAAAAATATGTTCTAAAATTATTTGGCTCTCCTATTAATGCTATTTGAGTACAGTAATTGCAGTGGCAATTACTGATGCATTTTGCCCTGAATTCTACAATTGTATTGATTCCGTATTATACTTTAAGCAAGCTAAATCTAAATGCTGAACTATTAAAGTATAACGCATTGCAGCTCTGCCAGAGCAGAGCAACAGCATGTTTTTTAATTTGCTTCTGGTATCCAAGGGCAGAAATATGTTTCAAGTGATAAGTGAAATTTGCCATGAGCATCGTTTTCAATAGAATTAGGTGATGCATAGGGCTTTAACTCTGAAATTCTGATGAATCTCTTCTCATATTTGCACTCAAGTTATTGTTCACAGTAAAGTGCTTTAGGAAATGCAGGGTGTGCATTCAGTGTTATTTTTCAAATACCTGAAGGCAAATACACTAGTAAATCTATGTAACTAAATCTGAGTGCAAAGTACAGATAATAATATGAATAATCATGTGGGGTTTTTAATGACAAGAGTTTGTTAGTGTCCCTGGCTCATTTGTTGGTTTTGTTTTTGTAAGTGGGATTGAGTATAATGAAGTTTATATGAAGCTTTTATTCCTTAACGTTTGGGTCGTTACTCTGTCTCTATGTAAAACTTGTTTTCATTTGTTCTCATATTGTTTCTTCTTCAACTGACCAACGAAATGTACATTTTAAGTTATATAATCATTTTTCAGATTAAAATGCTAACATTTGGGTAAATATTGGCTGAACTCTTAAATTACTTTATTTGAAAGGTAGAAATTGAATGTTTCTTCAAAGACATGAAAGTCTGTGTTTAAGGTGTTAGCCACAAAATCAGTACTGTAACTATTTAGAATATGACCCTTATTTGTTTCATTCAGTGTAAATATGAGCATCTGACATGTGCACAGCACTTTCATTAGCGTTTCAAGATTATACATTTTATTTGCTAATATTTTTCATGGACCAAATATGATGACAGAAAGCCTGTTAATAAGCATGTTTAAAGCTTTCTCACCTTGGGAAGACATTAATTAGTACCATTTTTCTGTTGTTAAAATAAAGAGAACTGCTTATATAATTTCCTTTGGAAGGTGAGGGATGCCAATGATAAACAATCCTCTCATCTTTTGACTTCTTCATGATCATGACAATAAAATCTGCATAAATTATAATGTAGTGTATGGCTGTTTGCCATGCATAACCAAGATTTCCATCCTGCTGTCTTTCATTAGGCTTTATTTAGGTTTGTTTGCATCTCTTCCACTTTTTTACACTTGCTTTTTCATTATATTCATACACTGATTAAAAACGTTTCTTTATTTAATGTAGATAAGATTGTAATCCCTCCTTTATGAAAATGCTTTTTTGTAAGTAGACAAAACTTGCATCTTGAAATAAAAACAAAGTTAAGGGCTAGAGTCCCTGTGGAAAAATGTTTTATAGTCACATGTACAATATAAAAATTATAGTTAAATTTAAACATAAATTGTACATTTTCCCCTTTAACACCTGCATTAGTCATTTTGTATGGAAGTGAAAAACAAATCAAATAGGAGCTCAATAAGAAATGTCCATCTTTCTCTTGGGTTCCTGGGTAAGGACAGTAAAGCAGGATGGAACTCATACACAGGTAAGTACTCAAAATCTTTTTCTTAAGCAAATGAAGTGTTTTTATATAATTAACTTTGCTAAAATAAAACATGGAATGAGTAAAGGAAATTAAAAGATATAATTAAAACTATTTCAAAACAGTTTTAAATTCCTCTTAAATTCCATAATAGAGAATGTTAAGTTGTGTGAATGTTAAAGGAATAAGTTTGAGTAACTCTCGTTAGGGATGAATGAACTTTAAGGGAGTTGAGAAGTACCTCTTTGCATTTGGACTCGTTTTGCTCACCTTAACAACTGTGGTTATGGACCTGATCTGGAGTAATTGGTATGCATAGGTAATTTGGCCACAAATAATCTGGAAGAGTCTATATTTTCAAAATACCAAGCTATGTTTTCAAATAACCAAGCTTTGTTAATATTGCAAATGTTGCCATACCAGTTCATAATCCTTAAAGAGGCACAGTGCATCAGTGATTTAGAGGTGATCGTACATGTTATATCTTAACAGCCTATACAGACATTTATGAGGAAAAATTAGTCACTGAAATCCTAGCTTTAATTTGCCAAATGCAATGTCCTTATTAGGATATTAAGAAACTAGTTTATTCCTGACTTCATCACAGTCTTTGAAGTTGAGATTTAAAAATACGTAAAATTATATTTTTGAAGACACATGAGCCATTAAGAGGTATCATTAATTTTAACAAAATCTGAATAGGAAATAAATTGTGCTACCAAATACATTTATAGGTTTTTTTAGATTGACCTGTATAATAAACAGTTGAAAGGGGCAGTGTATCTGTGTGTGTGCGTGTACATGTGTTGTGGTTTTGTTTTGCCATTATCAGATATTTTCTTTCTCAGGTCTTCTTTTCCAGACATTGCCTGAATATGATGCAACAGCTGAACCCAAACATGACCAAACCCGTTTCTCTTAGCTTCTCTTGGCCAGTATAATCTGTTTGCTGTATGTGCTTTAGATAAATGCAATCATTTTGCAATCCGAATGAATCATTAAATGGGCCACATTCTGGTTGTTTCACTGAGTATAGACCTGCCTTAATTGTTAAGACAGGCTTGAATTCTTTTATTAGTCTCCTGTCTGTGCCAAATAAACAAGGGACAAATAAGACCTTTGTGTTTTTGGTGAGAGGAAATGATTTAGGTCAATAGCATATCTTTCAATTCAGAAGACTGTTTATGGCACCAAAGAGGCTTTTATTCAACTAAATAATCACTGCCTATAAATAGTCCATTGAATGAATATTAAAGAAACTGCCTCTTTGTTTGGAGATTCATGGATTCCTCTGAAATAATTTGCTTGGAAACTGTCATTATCTTCTTGTATCTTGTTGTGTCCTGTTCAATTTAGGATTATTACTGGAATTTCAATTATATTTGATTTTTGTTTTTAAAGTACCAGCTGAAAAATAGAACACATATTGATTTGATTATAGCTGCTATCAGATTAATGGTTTTAGATTGTTGATCAGCTCTTTTTTGGACATTGCTGGATATTCAAGTGTAATAATCTGATAACAATGATTTAATTTCTGTTTGGATTTTAGCATAAAAGTATGTTTGGGCCTATGATTTTACTTCTTACTTCCTTAAACAATTCTGCCTCTCAGAAATTATCTAATCTCTTATCTATTAGGAAAGCTCAATTGAAGTTGCAATTTTTGAACTGTTTCCTACTTAAGAATATCTGCATGCTTAGATATAAACTGCTTCTTCATTTTACATTATATAGAAAACTCTGATCTTATAATAGAAGTGCTAGGATGACCTAGAAAACTAGAATCATAAGCAATCTATCTTCTTTGTAATTTTCAAGTGTAATACAAAACAATATTGTAAACCTTAAATTCTCAACAATATAAAATATCCCAGTTTTCTACCTAAAGTTCATTTCTTAATGCATGATTTTAACTGACACATTTATATTCTAAAACGCCTTATTTTAACCTTATAGTATACCTATCATAACAAGGGAAAAAATAAACAATATTTGGAAAATTTAGTTTTCTATTGATAATTTTTTGAGGGGCCCTAGGCTGGTAAAATATCTGATGCCTGATTTAATCTTGCATAACTTAATATTTAGGTTGTACTGTATGAGAAGCTCATTATAGTACATTAAAAAAAATCCTCAAATAGTAATAATCTTTTATTTAGGAATCTTTATTCCACTAACATTACACGTTTTTTGAAATAGGGCAGAAATTAATACTGGTATGTTTGTTTTAGCCTCTAGATCTAAAGTATTAGAAGTATATGTAGGGTTAGCTGTTTACTAATTTACTAAACACTTAACTTCTGTGAAAAGCTTCTGATTACTAATACTTTTGCTGTTTGTTTTGTTTTTTTTTTTTACACCATAACCACTCTCCGTTGACCTCTGCATGCAGATAGTTGGAAGTAAAGTTATGGTGAGTACAAAAGATGTGTTTTACCTGTAGATATGATTTGTGCTTTTGCTTATAGTATTTTATGTATTTGGTTCTTCTTTTGATCTGTATCTTGCCAAAGCAGTGAGATGAATATAAGATCAGGTGATTAGAATTTAGCTATGGTAAGTATTTTTCCTGTGGTTTTGGGAAATGTTTAGAACTAGAATATGCTTGTATACTTTGTCTTAGAATGTTTTATTTTTTTAAAAACCATGTGCCTGTGTCAGTCCTTATGATTCTGATGAAATTGTGTGTTTTACCTCAGTTTCTCAGTATGGCAGGGAGAGACTCCTAAAAGGTTGGTTTATGCTGACAGGAGTTCTTATTAAAATATTTCACTTTGATTTTAGTGTCACTGAGTACACAGTGTAATGCAGACAACCCTGATGTTCAGTCAGGAGGCCTGAGTGCTTGTCTTTGTGGGGGCTACTAATTGGCTCTGTGACTTTGGACAAGTTATGTAATTTGTCTGAGGTTCAGTTATTAAATGGTTAAGTTGACGTGATTGGCTTACATTGCCTTTTATGGTTGTTTCTGTTGCTGTCTTTCAGAGGTTTTATACTCAAGGTACTGTATTTCAGTGCCATAATTACATGATACACTATTACATAATACTCCAAAAATAGCCTGTATGGTAACTGAGAACTGTTTGTGATTACCTTTTCTTCATGATTGAGCAATGTACATTTACAGAACAGGGCAGGAAACAGTATCTTTAGCATTACCAAGTACTGCATTATCTAGGATAGTGAATGCATTACAGATTTGTTTTGCTTTTGAATATTGATTTCTTTTTTTTTAATTTAATTCATATGACATATAGGGGAAAACCATCCATCTTTTGGGATAATTTCAAATAGCAAGTATTTCTTTAGGGCTTGTTATGTGCCAAGAACTGTGCCAGGTGCACTGATGACTGGAAAATAAGAATGAGATAAGAATTTACAGTTTTAATAATTTATGTTGAGATAGTCAAACCTTGAATTGTACATGCTGACTGTAAGGTGTAATAGGAATTCATAAACAGGAGAGAGAAGTAGGGTTAGAGTAGTTAGAGAAAACACCATGCACATTTCTGGACTTGAGCTGTGCTTTCATGAATAGTTAGAATGGCTAGCATTTGACTATGGAGAAGCTCTCAGATTATGGAAGTAATATTCAATGCAAAGGCTTGGAGAAAGAACCAAATTGTGTTGGGGAGTAGAGGTGGAGAAGAGGGAAGTGAGAGATGAGGTTGACTTTGTTGGAACAAAGAATATATATTGGGTTTCCAGTGTGTGGCTTTCAAAAATTTCATTGAAAGACTGTCTTGAAGTCCAGGGAGATGATTAGAAATTAGTTTCAGCAAGGAATGGTATGAGGAAAGCAGGGTTTAAGAAAAATAAATTTGATAGTAGTAGGTAGGCTGGATTAGGCTAATGATGCTCAAACTGGAAAGTGTATCAAAATGCAAATTTTGTCCCTCATGGAGTCTGGGATAGGCCAAAAACTCTGCATTTTTATCAAGTAGTACAGGAGATTTGTTGAGGTAGGCTGAGGCACATACTTGAAAAATACTGGATTAGGATAGAAAGAGATTTATTTAGGGGACTGCCTGGAAGACTTGTGTGTGAGTCAGTGAGCACCTGTATGGAAAATCATCTTTTCCAGAAGCCAGTGAAATATTACCAATTTCTCCACATCCAGTTACCAAGTTCTGTTGATTATTTCTCCTAAATAACCCTCAACTCCCTAATTACTCACACTGTTGCTTCCTTAGTTCAGACTGATCATTTAACGCATCTGTGATAGCCATGGCCTCCTAAGTGGTTTCCTAGTCTTTGTTCTCTCATCCCACCCATGCTTGTTTTACAGTGTTAACTAGAGATCATGCTGTTCCCCCCCCCTTAAAACTTTCAAATGGTTCCCTATTGCCCATTGTGATCTTATTGCACCCTCCTTCTAATTTCATATCCAGCTGCATTCTTACATGTGCCCAGCCTCTAATCTGTACAGGAATACTTGGCAATTCCTTAACATCCTGTTTTTTAATACCTCTAAATGAAGCATATTTTATTTCTTTGAGCTGGAATGCCCTTTTCTTCTTTAGTGAGCTCAGCAAGCTCCTAAATCTCCATCAAGATTAAGCTTCCTGTCAAGCTTAGGATATGCTGTCCTAGATAACTTCTTCTTTTCCAAAATACCATGTATATATAGCTGTATTTTAACATTTAACATTTTATTATAATAAATAATTTGTATGTCTTTCTTTCTCAATGAGCATAGCTCCTGCCCTCAAAGTACTAGGTCAAGTGGAGAGGGCAGACAGGTAAACAGAATAAAGATAGGGCCTGAGATGCAATAGAGGAAAGGTTGCAAAGTGGCAGGCAAGGAGGCTATGCATGGTTCATGGAAAAATTTTGTTCCAGAATGTTTTAAAAGACAGTGTAATGAGATACATGTGTTGTGATTATCTTCAGTATAAACTATTTCATACCTATCATCCTATCCATGACTTGTTTTTCACATTGGAGTTTCAAATACTGCACTAAAGGGAAGAAATTTTAGGAATCAGCTTCTAGAGGTAGTGATGGGGGATTAGTTTTAGAATTTAGGCAGGAGAACTACCTTAAGGGGGAAGATTTTTTATTTTTCTTGAGACCTGAGAGAGGAATGAAAACACAATATTTAAAAAAACTCTGGTGAAAGTCAGGTACAAAAGGGTTTATTTTTCATAGTCTCATTAATCTCAAAAGAGGGAAGTGTTTATTCATTGATAAAATGGGCAGATGAGAATTTCATAGAAGTGTTTGAGAGGGAAGAAATTCTAGAATAACCACTTTAAATATTATGGTTGCCTAGAGATTATATACGTTAGTCAAAGAAAGAGTGATGCAGAAGCCAGACTGAAATTGGAAAGATGGAATATTAATGAACTAGGTCTATGTGACCCTGTCTTTCTTTTGTCTTTCCAATGTTGATTGGAAGTAGAAATGGAGGCATTTGAGGCCCTCCTGATCTTGAACTACTGTCAGCCTTACTTTTCATTATTCTCCTTTATAAATTTTGCTTTACAAATTAGGCTGGAAAACTGCTTGTTACCTGAACATAACCATCCCCTCATGCAGTCTTGCTTCTGGTTTTGCTCATCTGAACTTCTTTGGCACAGAAAATTCTCCTTCCTTTGTTAACATTCTGCCCATCCTCCACAGCTCTTCTGTGAAGTCTACGTGATTCCTACTCCCATTCTCCCCACCCCCCGAATTCCACCTAGTAATTTATCTGAAGCCCAGTAGCATTTTATTTTTAACTTTCATGGAATTACTTTCTGTTTTGTCCTATACTTTCTATTACATTATATGTTCCTTAAGGACTTCTCTTATAATATCCAATTTTACTTTTGTTTATCATATGTATATCTTTGAATAATACTATCACTGTGGGTCTTTTTATATCCATTGTATAGACCCGATGAAGGGATGCAAATTCTAGTAGAGGTCATAGGTTTATAGGCAAATAGACCTGGGTTCAGACCCCTACTAGCTGCTATTCCTATATACTAGCTGTGTGACACTAGATAATTTACTTAACCTCTCTGAATCTCCATCCATAAAATGAGGATAACAATACTAAATTGAAGATAGTTTTGAAGTTTATTATTTATGTTGAATGTGTTAAATATAGGTCTAAATAACATTTTTCATTAAATGCATTGAATTTTACAACATGGTCTGAAAAACATACAGACATGAAGATTACATGATTAAATGAGAAGATTGAGCTGCCTCTGCTTTTTTTTTGCCAAGTATTTAAGATTTGTGCTATTTGATAGGATTTATTCTCGGTCAAGATTAGTAGGAAAGATTCAACTGGATGAAGAAATGAGAATTCTTTGTCTGTTTATTGAAAGCTGTGTGTTATGTGCTGTAGATTACTGTTGGGCTTTGAGAAAAAAATAAATTCATAGGTGGTCTCATTATAATATTGACAAGGTTTTTAAAGATTTTATAAAATAGCTGAAGATTTGTTACAGATACCATCTATGAAGGGAAGTGATAAAATATCTTCCTGTAGGAATCTTAAAATAGTAAAAGAGAATTTGGAGTAGGGTAGAGATAGAAAAAAGTAAACAACTTTTTCAATAGCTTCTAGTTCTAAATAAGTGTTGTACGACTTTTTGAAGCAAAATAAAAACTTTTTATTTTTTAGTAATACATTGCATAAAACAGACTTAGAAAACAACTAAAACAATTGATTTGATTTCACTGCAAGCTAGGAATAATTTATCCACTGGTGAAAAAAAATCACCATTTCTATGGGGGGAAAAAAGTAAGAATTGACATGATTACATATGATAATTGGAAAATAGTGTTACAGTGGGTAGACCTTACAGTGTTAAATATGAAGTAATTTAATGGCATAAGTAGTTGAGTGCCTAGGATAGCAGTAGTGTGTTTTGGGATAGTGTTTGTTCAGACATCAGAAAGACATGAATTTGAATCCCTGATTTACCACTCATTCATTCCTGTTGCCTTGTTAGCCTCTCTAACCACAGTTCCATTCATTTCTTAAACAGAAAGTTACTAGTCACTGATTATGTGCCACATACTATTCTAAGTGCTTGAATGATGAACCAAACAGATAAATTCCTCATGGAGCTTACATTCTAGTTGGGGAGACAGACAATAAGACACATACCAAATAAAATGGAAAGTAGTGGGAAGTGCTATGAAGGAAAAAAACAAGATGAGAAAGCTGAGAGTGATCTGGGATGTGCAATTTTAGATAGATGAGCCCTCTGAACAAATGACATTTGAACAAAGACATGAATTAAGCTGGGGAGAGCCATGCAAATATGTAAGAAAAAGCTTTGTAGACAGAGAACATCAAGTGCCATGGCTTTGAGGCAGGAGTATGCCTCGATTACCTGAACAATAGCAGAGAGGCTACTGTGGTGAGATTGGGGTGGGCAAAGGGGGATTAGGGGGGTATTTAATAAC